ATGGGGGGTGCAGTCAGTTCATCACACATTGTTTTGCTGCTTCTTTCTCCTCACACTCTTCTCCTGCTCCAACGTGCAGTCCCACCCACTGGAGATAGTCCTCCATGAACTCCTCCAGTGTGGGATCCCCCACGGGGTCACAAGCCCTGCCAGCAAACCTGCTCCAGCGTGGGCTCCTTTTCATGGGTCACAAGTCCTGCCAGGATTCTGCTCTAGTGTGGGCTTCCCTCAAACCTCCTTTGAGTGCACCCTCCTGCTCTGGCATGAGGTCCTCCATGGGCTGCAGAGGGGCGGGCTGCTTCACCATGGTCTTCATCACAGGCTGCAGGGGAAACTGCTGTGGTGCCTGGAGCACCTGTTCCCCCTCCTTCTTCACTGACGCTGATATCTGCAGGGTTGTTTCTCTCACATCTTCTCACTCCTCTCTTCCATCTGCTGTTGCACAGCAATTTTTCCCTCTTCTTAAATACGTTATCACAGAGCCACTACCACTGTTGCTGATTGGCTTGGCCAGGTCCATCTTGGAACCGGCTGGCACTGGCTCTATAGGATACGGGGGAAACTTCTGACATCTTGCAGAAACCATACCTGTAGCCCCACCACTACCAAAGCCTTGTGAGGCAAACCCAATACAGCCTTGCATCTAGAAACCTTTGCTAGTGAAACCACAGAAAGTGCTGAAGTGGCCATGCTTGCACCATTTGATAGTTCTTTTTATGATCAGATGATATGAGTAACATATATTACTTGTAAGAATTCTCTAAGTAGACATGTATAGGTTGAATAACACTGAAAGATAATTAAGTTTAATAATGATTAGTCTTTTTGTAATTGGCTGGAGATTAAATTTAATCAACTTGATAACATAATGAATTTTTTTTGGATGAAAACTTGAGACTGAAAAACAACTACTAGAAAAATGCTCCTGCAGTTATGTTTATCACATGCAACAGAAGTTGATAGTCAAACATGTTTTTATTCCTGTTGGCTATTCATGTACTGTTTTTGTATTTAATTTCTAATAATTGTGTTGAATGCTTGAACTGTATGTGATATTGGACTGCCTCAGTAACCTTAATGTCAATATTCTTATATGTTTTTAAATTAAGAAGTCTTAAAAATTAAGTATTTAATATATTTACTCCAAGACCCATTGTGAGTTAAATCAAATGATAGTGCTACCGGTTCCAAAAACTTGGGCTCAAAGATACACATACTGAGTAGTTAGCTGGTATAGAGAAGGATTTATAGCATTTTGTTTGGACAGGAATAGCTGAGTGGAGTATGGGAGCATAATAAGGAGTCTGGTGATGGTCAAGTTCTTTGATGTTTTTGTTCATTGGTATTGATCATCTGGACAGCATCTTTGATCAGAGGTTATGGCAGTCTTAGTTGAAGTGTATAGCAAATCTGTGCAGCAAAACAGTAGAACATTAATAGTAATGTTAAAAAAAAACAACCCCAAACAACCAAACAAAAAACCCCACACAATATAACCCAACTGTTTGAAACAAAGGACCTCGCCACACAGTTTATAACTTAAGAGATTTTGAGCTAATATAAACACAGTGTTTGATACGAAGATTTTGGCTGGTTGGGACTGTATTACTTTTCTTTTAAGGAAGTTTGTCTGTCATATTCTAACTGGAAAGCAACACAGACATGAGTTTCAAGAGAGAAAAATAATCTGTTAAGTGAAATGTATATTATTCTCTTTTTGTGACCAGCTTCTTTTCATAATCACGTATTTTACTGAATACCAACACAATGTGAAAATAGGTTTATAAATCTGATTATCTTGTCAGGTTACCACAAAACCAAATCATCTTGAATTTACATTTTGGGGAGTTTTTGTGCTGTAAGGCTTCCACTAAAGCACTTAATTTTTGAAGTGTAGGTTACTAATAATAATCTTCTTTGAGATACAAAGACCAGTTTTTCAATATTTAGATGAATTAAATACTTTAACGATGGAATACAAAAAGCACAGAAGTTGGGCCAGATTTTTTTTAGTATAGAGAAACCGTAGAAATTCACAGTACATGCATTTGTAGTGTGTGTCTGTATATCAGTATGCATTTGTAGTCTGTGTCTTAAGCTGTATACTCTTATTATTGCAAAGCTGATCTTTCCACATGAATAACTTTTCATTTTCTTTAGGCTATTGCCTTACCTCCTATAGCCAAGTGGCCGTACCAGAATGGGTTTACTTTCCATACTTGGCTAAGAATGGATCCTGTAAATAATATCAATGTAGATAAGGATAAGCCTTACTTGTATTGGTGAGTATTATGTAAAACCATATTTCTGATGCTCAATTTCTATTAATTGTTCAATGATTTCTACTTCCATCTGGGTATGTGCTGATTTTGTTCTAATTTGCTAGTTTTCGAACAAACAAAGGACTTGGTTATTCTGCTCACTTTGTTGGAGGCTGCTTGATTGTAACGTCCATAAAATCAAAGGGAAAAGGTTTCCAGCACTGTGTAAAATTTGATTTCAAGCCACAAAAGGTGAGTAAAAATAATAAAATTTTTCAAATATATTTCATGAATTTAAAAATGTAGCCTAGGGGGGAGTGTTGTAGCTATTGATTAGGCTCATCTCTCTGTATAAGAGCAGTTACACTGGAATTAGCAAAACAAATTTGTGTTCTGAATTCTTATTTCTTTTTAATTTTACTTATTAAATTTATAAGAAAGAGTTAGAAGATGCAGTTTACTCTGTTTTCTCCCACCTCCAGACATTCTCTTCTCCTTTTCCTAAGGGTTTTGCTACGACTCTCCTTTATGTCATGACTTACTCGATGTGGACAAATGCAGTGTTTTAAGAAGGCATGATTACTAACCCACATTTTGTTTACCTAATAAAGCTAGGACAATTAGTAGGAGACTGGTCTTCTTACATGTGGGAGAGCAGCAGATGAATTCTTGAAAGAATGTTATCCTTTGTCATTCAGGTTGTGCAGAAAATAGTCTCCTTGCATTTGGTGCTTTATTCTATGTATCTTTTTAAATGTAAGAATTAAAAATAGAAGTGGATTTTTTTTTTTTAACTGATGTTCAAGGCTTGCTTGCCTATTAAGTAGTATTATGCTATGCTGAAAGTGTTTCCTTTTTTAATTAGATGTTCTGCTAATGTTTCTGGAGCAACTGGTGCAAACATTTTGTGGGAGAACAGGCCTCAGGAATTTCTTATCAGTAATCCCTTGCTGTAAATATGGATTCTGTTTGTGACTATTTGACACACGCAGCCTTTGAAAGTCTTTAGTCTGGAGCCATCCTTGTTCTTTGGAATGACAACATTTGCAGTAGTCCATCATGCTAAGAGAAACCCAATTTAAAACACAGTGGTTTTGATGTAAATTTAGTTTGGCATTGCCGTGAAGGTTTTTTTGAGTTCTGTGCCATAAATATCTTTTAAACTTCTGTGTCTATTTTTTGTGGAAAAAATTGACATATTACGCTTTGACAGAGCTATGCAAGAAAACTCACCAATGACTTAATCTTTTCAATTTAAAATAAATCTTTCAATCTTAATACACATAAATAATTGAATTTGTTCTGCTATGCTCCACTTTAATGCTTAAGCTACTTTAAGTGTCTATAGAATTGTATCAATTGTTTTCTTGTCATTTAGTGGTATATGGTTACTATAGTGCACATCTATAACCGCTGGAAGAATAGTGAACTTCGATGTTATGTGAATGGGGAACTGGCATCTTATGGAGAAATAACATGGTTTGTCAACACCAGTGATGTAAGTAATCCCTGTATGCTCATATCTATAGTTGATCATCTTGATGAATTAAATATATGTCCTTTACCCTTTTATTAATAAACCTTCCCGATTGTATAAATTTAAAAAAAATGCTTAAAAAAATAATAACTTTTTGATAGAGGAGTAGATTCTACTTTTATTTATTTATTCTCAGAACTTAAAATTTGTTTCTGCTGAGACCCTCAAGTGCTTGTTTATGTAAAAATAGTAGTCCCTGATAATAGGTATATTCTTTGCGTAATTTGCTTGTGTAGTGTAGATTAAACCCTTTTATCGGGTTCTGTTTCATTTTCAGACATTTGACAAATGTTTCCTGGGTTCTTCAGAAACAGCTGATGCCAATCGAGTGTTCTGTGGGCAAATGACTTCCGTTTACCTTTTTAGTGAGGCTCTCAATGCTGCTCAGATCTTTGCCATTTATCAGCTTGGTCTGGGATATAAGGTATTAGATATTAAAATTGACTGTAAAATTTCCAAAGTTTAATTCTGATAAGGCTCTTTATGGTGGGTTTTAAGAATGATGTGACACCCCTATGTTGTTCTAAAAATGTTCTAACTGTGTAATCTTTTTAATAAACCCTTCCATGTTTCTTCTATAGGCCTATGTATCACCTCACATTAAGCAATAATTCAATTACTTAATTTCTTATTAAAAAAAAAAAAAAGTGTTCCTGTTTGCTTCTCAAAATTTCCATGTTGGTGCTTGGGAGAGGGAGAACACCACTGGTATCTCTCAGCAGGTTCACTTTTTCATTGAGTGTGAAAACTTTAGATCAAGCATGATGTATTTGTTTTAGAAATGTAGCTTTATAGTTGATTGTGCTAGTTGGGTTTTTTTTAATGTGTGAAGTTAGTGCTGAGGATTAGTTTTGTTGCAGTGATTTATTATTTGTTTTGTCATAGCCTGAGGGGCACTAATTGAAGACTGTTATTCCCTAGCAGCTGTACAAACATACGCTAAAAAAAGATGGTTCCTATTCTATCTGCTCCTCAATTATTAGTTCCTTCTGAGTGAACATTGCTGACTGTCATTCTGTTTCCTGGCTAATGTGGTTTTTTTACATTACCCAGCATTTTGACAATGTCACTCTTCAGGGGTAAAAAAAACATAATAATTCTGCCATTCTACCTCTGTAAAATTGACTTTGAATCAATGTTTTTATGACACTCCTTTGCTAGATTGGAGAAGCAGTGTTTTAGTAATTTTTGTGCAATAGTTGTGTTCTGAACCATATTCTCAATGTGTGTAATCTAATTTTTTTTTCTTTTTTCCTTCAACACTGCTCCCCAATCCAGGGAACATTCAAATTCAAGGCAGAAAGTGATCTCTTCCTTGCTGAACATCACAAATTGTTGCTATATGATGGCAAACTATCCAGTGCTATTGCTTTTATGTACAATCCAAGGGCTACAGATGCACAGCTGTGTCTAGAGTCATCCCCTAAGGATAACCCTTCTATTTTTGTTCATTCACCACATGCCCTCATGCTGCAGGTATTTCAACATTTTCATAGATTTGGAGGATACAAATGATTTCTGTTTTAAAACCTAAAAATCAAGTTTTATAGGGATTTGGACAAGATAGGGGGAACTGCTGATAAGTTGGGTTTTTTGGGATGTCCCCGTTGCTACCTCCCTGTTTCTTGAATTAATGTGCATGCACAAGAATCATAAGAAAAAGGTTCATTTTATCCAAGTTACAACCTAAAAAATGTCAGTATTACAAAGACTGTTAGTGTTTAAAATAAATCCTTCTTCCTCATTTCTGACATATGTTCACTCCCCTACAGACCTTACCTGTCTCCTGTCCTTTGCCTTGTTGATATGATACCCTTTTCTTCCCTATGCTTTGAACACCTTAATCTTTTAATTTTTCAAAAGCTTTTAATGTATTCCATTATAGAGTTTTCTTGTTTTAGAGTTTGCAAGCCACCTCCTGTTTGTTAATTTGAGTTTCTACACTGTAGACTGTATCTACACCAGTAGGTCAGCCAGACTGGGCGTTTAGTGTGGCTATGACAGCCAGTTTTTACTTCTTGCTGTTTCTTTTAATTTGGTAATAAACCAATTTTAATATTGAAGAAATTTCAAAATATTTCTAACAAACTTCTTAACAGTTTCTGAAGGAGATTTCAATATTTCTTAATTCTTCTTTGTCAGGATGTGAAAGCAGTCTTAACACATTCTATCCAAAGTGCCCTGCACTCCATTGGAGGAGTGCAGGTGCTTTTCCCTCTCTTTGCACAGTTAGACTATAGGCAGTATTCATCAGACCACGTTGACACAACTGTTTGGTGAGTGCATATACTTATTGTGTTCTTTTCTGTGTTTCCTTTTAAGTAATGGAAATTACCTCTTGCTTTATTAAGTGACACAGTGGTTTAAATAGTCTTGTGAAACAATGAATTTTGTCTAACAACAAAAAGGTGGCCTTGTTACAGGCAGGACCTCAAATTCAGGTGTTTATTTGTACCAAATTTTCTATGGAAGTTCACACAGAATCAAAATGTACACACTTCACAGTTTTTTTTGTGAAATTACAAAAATTACAGACAATTCTCTTGAGCCTATTCCTGTCATGGAGAAAATCCACTGAGGAAGGCTTCAAGATAAACTCTAGGAAGGATGCATTTTTCATCTACATGAAGTTATTCCTTGGATTTTTTATTATTTTTTTTTTCATTCAGATTTTTTGTAACGTACTGTGTTATTGCCAGGCTTTCTCTCTGGTTTCAGCTCTGTTTCAACTCAGTCCAAGTTCTGAACATCCAGGCACAGAAGCTGGGGGAGCTCCTAAGTTAAAGAGTAGTATTAAAAGGAAAATGGTTGGTTTTTTTAGAATCCTGGTGTAGTTTGCTCTGTTTCATTGCAATTGCTGTTTCATTGACTGTTTTAAGATGATCTACATCAATATTATTGCTGAGAAGGCGTGGTCACAATGTTCTTTCAGCCCATTTATACATTCCTGGGCCTCTCTTGAGCTGGCTCAAACTTGACCATCTATTTGATGATGAGTCAGGGGTTTGATTCAGTTGCAAACTGGCACAGCAGTAGGGGGGTTTTCAGTGGGCTAAGGTCTTGATTCATAGGCACTAGTGCTGTGACACATGGGGAGGGGCATGAACATTCCTTCTGGCAGCAGCACAGAGCTGAATTAGCTTGAAGCAATAGTAAGCCTATGTCTAGAAAAATATTTCCAATATCTTCTCATCTGAAAGCAGTAGGAAGTAGAATGGCATTTGTTACTGATCTTGCAGAAGTTTGTAAGTGAAATATGAAGCAGAGAAGTACATGCTTAACTGTTGTCTTTCTGCAAGAACTATTTTTGCGAGAATTATGCTATTGCACGATTATCTCGGAATACAGGATTTTAAGTTAGAAATGCATTAATTAAAAGCAAGAAATAAGAACTTTCAAAATTTAGTTTGCTTTTTGTTTTAAAAATTCTTATCTGAGCATTTATATAATGCATTAAATGTATCTCAGCTGTGTGATGGAAGTGTTAATTTGGAAATAGTTTTTGTCTCATTGTAACCCTTTAAAACATTTTTCTTTACCAAAACATCTTTTTCAGTTCTACTTTATTGGCTTTCATCCTGGAGTTGTTGAAGAACTCCATTGCTATGCAAGAACAGATGCTTTCCTCTAAGGGCTTCCTTGTGATAGGATATAGCCTAGAAAAGGTAAAGCCCATCTTTCTTGATGTCTTCCATTAATGTTGAATTTTTTTGAGAGAAAAACTTTTCCTAGACTGTTGCAGGGCTCTTCCTTAAGCAGATCTTCTTTTCCAGTCTTCCAAAGCCCATGTTACCCGAGCTGTACTAGAACTTTGCCTTGCCTTTTCGAAATACCTGAGCAACTTACACAATGGGGTGCCCTTGCTGAAGCAACTGTGTGATCATGTTCTCCTTAATCCTGCTATATGGATTCATATCCCAGCACAGGTAAAATTGCTTGTTCTTATGAATAAGGTATCTTATCATGTATCAATTTGGGAATGTTGAAACTAAGCCTGACTCTAAGAATTACAGGTTCTGACTCCCCAGCAGAAATCATACAGGAATGGTTTTCAGACTCTGCTTTTCTGCGTGTAGCTGCCAAGTTTTGCAGATTCCCAAGTTTCCAAACTCCCTGAAAACCTCCAGCATTCTGCAGAACAGAGTTGGGTCTAGAACATTGACTTCTGGAGTCCCTGACTTAGTAGATTGAGAAGGGATTTTGGATGGGTTAGTTGGCAAAAACCAAAAAAACCAGCAGTTTTTAAGATAAATTATCCTGGGTGTCAGATTTGAAGTTGTCTTTTAAATTGGCATATTCCTTTTTTTTACACAGTATTTTTGTTTTGGTGAATCTGTGTTCTCTGAGAGCGAACATTTTGGATGGAAACTTTCCAGTTAGTTCTACTTGAAACTTTATTACCAATTTTTTTTATCCCCTCTGTAAGGGTTAGTTTTACATTTCAAAAATAGACAGCACTAACAGTGCTACTGTTGAAGTCTCTGTAAAACATTTATGTTTGCTACAGCTAAATTAAATTATTAATTATTATTTAAGTCATTATTTCTCAGAAGGAAAATGGAAAGAAGATATGTAAATAATTAAGCCTACAATGAGTACTTAAGCCTATAATAGATATGCCTTTCTATACTTTTCTATAATACTTCACGTGTGACCCTGTTCTGAATAGAGAGGTTGGACTAGATGATTTCCAGAGGTGCCTTCCAATTTCAGCTGTCTGTGATTGTGTGAATACCGTGCTCTTATGAGCATTGGCCAGCTTAAAAAAACCACAGCAGTCTATAGTTTTAGAAAGAAAATTAAATTTCTCATCAGTTTGCAAGGGTCTTAAGAGCTTTGTGACTGAGCTATGCAAAGAAAATAGATTTCTTTAAGACATTTTAATAGTTGAAATTTTAAGTATGCAGTTGTCTGCTGTGCTGCAATTTTGCTGTCCTGATTTTTGATCTCCTGATTGGGTGTTGTAGGTTCAGCTGATCCTGTACACTTACCTGTCTACTGAGTTCATTGGCACTGTTAACATATATGGTGCAATCCGGCGGGTTGGGACTGTTCTTTTGGTCATGCATACCCTAAAATATTATTACTGGGTAGTGAATCCTCAGGACCGCAGTGGTATAACTCCCAAGGGCGTAGGTATGTATTAATTTTTACTCTCACAAGCTGATGTTTGTTTTAAAAAAATGTGTACAATGTATAGAATGAACTGTAGTCTTACTAATACAGTTTAATGGCTTATTTTGATTAGACTGGTCTATATTGAAAATAACTATTCTTAAACCAAATATGCCTGTGGGCCTATACTGTATAAAACCAGACTTGTATGATCACTTACATTTGCTGGTTGATTTGCTTTTCCCTGATGATTAAGGTCATAAAAACTGTGAACCTATGAGCAAATGTAAAGGCTATCCCTAGAAATGTATCTGCAACAGTTCATTTGCTTTCTGTATGAAAGCTTTTACTTGGCTATGACATTTCATTGCACCTGTTTTTTTAACCTTGCCTCTCCTGGGAACTACTCAGTGTTTGAGTATTTAAAATGTTTCAGTGAAAGTCTGCTTTACAGAAGAGTGGCAGAAGCAAGTCTTTTTGACTTTGAGTTAACAAACTTTCAAGGTGATCTTTATATATAGCATTTGTAAGATTGATTTTTTTTTTTTTGTGTGCGTATAGCCAATATAATGATTGCAGTTCTTCCTTTGAGCTTTAGCAGAAGAACTTTAATAACAATTGTAAACTGAAAAAATTGGAAATGTGAAAATTCTGACATAAAGTTTTCATATCAGTCTTACTCCTTGCATGAAGCTGGTTCTTAGGCACTGCAAGGAAATAGTAAAATAATGAAAAGAATTTTGAGTGCTTTAGAAAACTGCACTTAATAAAAGCCTTATAGAACCTCGCCAGTTGGGCATTTTGCAAATAAACGCTACTATTCTGTAGTCTGAAGTGAAGGGAAGATATCTTTACTTAGAATTGTGCCCTCTTCACCCAGAAAATACTTTTTATTTTTCTTTGTGTGAAAATGCATGCTATCCTAATAATAGCTGTTAATTTGCATTTCATATATCTACTTTATTTCTTTTGTAGATGGGCCACGGCCTACTCAAAAAGAAATTTTATCTCTGCGAGCATTCTTGTTGATGTTCATTAAACAGCTAGTGATGAAGGTAAGATAATTTTAGACTATGAAAGGATATCCAAGTTTCCTTTCATAATAAAATGCATTTTTCTATGGTCTTTTTTAATAAGCATGTTGAATTTTGTAAGCAAATAAGTATATAGAAATACCATGTAAGTTAAATCTTTTTGTTGTGGCTCTTGCCACAGACAGCAGTGCTAAAGATGCATTTGTCTCCTTTTGAAGCTGTTTTTATCAAAAGTGGAGCTGTTAAATCATAAACTTAGAAATGTTTAGGATAGAGGAAACAAGTATATGATTCCATATTTCATTTTTGTCAAGAACAATATCACCTGCATCAGAAGTGCTTAAAGACTAAAGAGCAACATTTGACATTATATGCTGTGGGCCAATGGGAAGAGAAGGATAAGAAAAACTCTCTCAAGAAGGTTCACAACTGTTTGTTAGACATTAGAGGAACATTGAAATTCAGCAGTCCTACTGCTTAAAGAATCTTCTTAACTCTTTCCTATTGTAAGCTGTAGTATCTCTCTTCTTTTCTCCCTTCTGTAGACTGTCTTTTCTGTGTTCTCTGAATCTAGCTCCCTTTTCTCCTCTTCATCTGTGTCACTAAGGGACCGGTATGCTCTCTTGTGCTGCTACCCTTAGCCCCAGCAATATGGAGGAGTAACTACCAGAAAAGTTCTGCTCTTGACTCTTGTACTCTTTCTTTAAATTTGATATTCTACAATTGAAGTGTCAGGGACAATTTAACTATCAAACTCTAAAAGACTTTATTAAGTGATAGCTTAATTTTTAATTCATTATTGATTTATTTATTTTCTGTTAGAGATTTATAACTTGGAGAGTTTTGGATAGAGTTTCACAAGGACAGTAAGAAGTCCATCATAAAAGGTTGTTTCTTCTCCAGGTTTTCTATTTGTACCCAGTGGTGCAAAATCTCTTCAGGAAAAGAGAGACTTTCCTTAAAAAATAAAAGCCCTAGAAATGAAGAAGCCTACTTTTTTCTTTCCTCATCCTATTCTTAGAAACTGTGGGGTTTTATTTTATTTTCACCAAAAAGACCTCAAGGCATATTCCTGACATAGATGCCATAAAAGATTTAAATTTCTGCAAACTTGATATCAACTGAAGATAAGATTCTGTAGTGGAAAAAAAGAAACAAACTCAGCTGTAGGCGTAGCTAACAGGCTTATAGTTAAACATCCAGTTCTACTTTTGAATCCTCTTTGCCACCTTAATTTAATTCTTCTGTTAATTTGAACTGAGAGCTTCCTATTATCTCTATCAATTAATATGTGTTACTCTAACAATTTAATGTACTAAATTACTATCTATCTTATTTTTATGTCTGTATTGGAGTAGTCTTAATGCACTTTTATAACCTTCAGTGGGTATTTTTTGGGCAGGGAAAAAGCGACCTTCCATTTATGAAGCTATTTTAGTACCAAGTGAAAACAAATTTGTCTCAGGGGACTTGCTCTGTATATAACCATGGTTTATGATATGCTCTTTTGAGACCAGTACTTTTGTACTTGAAAGATGATCGTTATAACTTGGTTGTTTTTAAAGGACCACGGAATAAAAGAAGATGAATTGCAGGCTATCCTCAATTATCTGCTCACTATACACGAGGTAAATTTTAATTTGGGGAGCGTATGGGGAGAGGGAGGTACTACTGTTGCTGTGTAGTAGTAGCAAATCACTTGCTATGTGACCACCAAATATTTGAATATTTTCAAATATGACCTTCTTTATGCCACAAGATGGCTCTGTAGAGGAAGTAGCAACCATTGTCCAACTCTTTAGTGTACTGTGCCGAATCGCCAGTGTTCTTGCAGTGATTTAAGCACCATGTTCAATGTTAGATTGAAGTTCATTAAGCCAGTAAGTCAAAATGGTTTCTTACTTGTGCTGCAAACTGATTTACCAAGCAGAAAAACAGATGGTGAGGCTGACTTTAAAAAAAAAGATAAAACCTTGTTTTATGCCGCCAAAGTAATATTTTTTGTTTTGTTTTTCTCTCATTTTTATTTTGCTTCTTAAATAAAGCAGTAAAATTGAAAACATGCATTAAAAAATAAAGATCTATGTTAATGGCATCTAAGAGAACCATATAAACTTAATTCGGAGAAAATGTTGGTTACCACTGATACATCTGCATCTTCATATTTTAGCACCAGGAAAAGGCACTTTATGCCAGATGCAACATCAAAGACAAGGGAAATGGGGACATAAATCTAACTGATCTCATCTCTGTAAGGGTGCTTGAAATGGGTAAAATAAGGAATTAATTGAACTTCACTTCAAGCAGTCTGGATTTTTTTCCCTTTTTGTTTACACCTATTTTCCTTTTATTCTCTGTGCTAGTTACTACTATCAGGTAGTACCATGGTCAAGCCATTTAAGTCATTCTACTTTATATGGAGATATGAAAAATATGATCCTTAGTAACATGTAAGAGTAAACCAAAATAGCAGAAGCTTTATATAGCCTTCAGATGAGGAGGTGATATTTTAACTATCTTAGCAATTTGCATGGTCAAGTCTAAAAAAGTCTAAAAGATCCATCAATGCTGAATCCCACAGAATTAGGTATTTAGTTGTAAATTCAGAAAAACATCAACCGAAAAAATAAAATTCAGCCTCTCATAGGGCTCATTCACTAGTGCTTACATCTGTAATATCATCAGGTGAACACAGTTGTTCAGGGATTATAAAACTCGTTCTCTAAGAGAGAAAGAATAAAAATATTTGTTCAAAAGTGTTGCAAAGTGGTGGGTTTTTTCTTCTAATAAGCTTTCATTTTAATACCAGAAGGAATGGGAAAAGAAGACAGTTATATTTTGTTCCTTTCTAGGTTATTTTTAGTTATAATTAACTTGGAACAAATCAATAAACTTTAGTTTAGAGTTCTTGAGACTACTGGTATGAAAAACTTTACTGAGCAGCTTGAATTACCCATTTTAAATATTGTCTGTGGCAGGTGGTGGTATTTTTTTTTTTTTCCTGGGCTTGGACATTTGTTAGTAGAGATTTTACATTAAACAGCACCCTGTGCCCCAGAAAATGTGCAGCAGTTTATTTCTAGCTCCTGTGCTGTAAAAGAGGGGGAAATATACATGCAAACAGATGAGCATGTGTGTGGAAGGAAATAGCATAGTCCAATAGTCCGTTCCTTGTCAGAGGCTTACATCCCAGACACAGATGTATCACTTTTCACTCTAAAAAATAAAGGGGTTTTTTGGTAATATTTGTTCCTGCACTTGCCTTCCAGATCTGTAGCTCTTTTGATCCTGGCCTAATTGTTTTGATCCTTGGTTTACTATTACTCTCCAGATCATTCTGAAATATTTTGTAGTGGTTCTTTTAACCAAAACAATGTTCTATCATACATTTTGAATTCAAATTTAAATAAATTTTAATTCAACTTTTATTCAACAGGATGACAATCTAATGGATGTCTTGCAGTTGCTTGTTGCTCTGATGTCAGAGCATCCAGGTTCTATGATCCCTGCTTTTGATCAGAGGAATGGATTACAGTAAGTTTGAATTTTGTAAGTGGGCAAAAGGAAATAGTAGTTTGACTTGCTAGGATTCCCATGAAATCGGAAAGGTCCTCGTCAGTGTATGTGTTGCAATCTTAGACTCCTAATCTTTTGGATTTTTGTGTCCAGCTGTTCTTTTCACAAGAGGTGATGTTGGATTTATTATCTATGGGGTATTTGTTTTTTAATGTTTCCAAGCTGTCAGTCATGCTTAAACAAGTAGTGATCAGTTTGAGTTAGAGTATATATTGATGTTAAGTCTTCATCTACTAGAGCTTGGTCTTTAGACTCCCATTCTTACGTACGTTTTAGGACTGAAAGTGTGCTGACAAAAAATGGTTCACCTTTGTTAGCTTTCTTTCCTTTTTTTTACATGAAAAACATTATGGGACTTTTGTAGAATAAACCTTTTTTTTGTTTAAATTTAGCACTCTGTGGCATGGATTGTTCAGGATGTCTTCTTCCCAACAA